CGCTGATAAGGGCCCGCGCGTTACCGTCGCCGCGCTGGAGAGGGCGCGACGGAAGGCGGCGGAGGCGAAGGAGCGCGTCAAAATGCTCGTCGTGTGCTCGCCGAATAACCCCACAGGCGAGGTGCTGGACAAAGAGACCGTCGTTGACGTCGTGCGGTGGGCCCGCGCTAACGGGCTGCACGTCGTGTTTGATGAGGTTTATGCAAACAGCGTGCACGCGGAGGGGAAGGAGTTTTGCTCCGTCGCCAGCGCCTTGCAGGGCGACTTGGGCGATGATGTCCACGTCGTTTGGTCGTTTTCGAAAGACTTTTGCCTGTCGGGCGCGAGGGTCGGCATTTTATATTCGCAGAACCGCGACCTTATGCGCAGTGTTGACGCCTTTCTCTCCCCACTGATGTCCACCTCGACGCCTACCCAGTGGGCACTGCAAGCAATGATCGAGGATCAGCCCTGGCTGGACGACTACTTTGCGGCAAATCGACGCCGCTTGCGCCATGCCTATTCCCGCTGCACAGCACTTTTGGACGACATGGCCGTCCCGTATGTCAACGCACACGCCGGCCTCTTCGTCTGGGCCGACTTTCGCAAATGGATGTCGGCAGAGTCTGAGGAGTGTGAGATGCACCTGTGGAGACGTTTTTGCGACGCAAAGGTCTTTCTCACCCCGGCGAGCCAGTGCTTTGGCCAGCGTTACGGATTCTTTCGCATTTGCTTTGCGGCTGTCGATGTGGCGACGTGTCAGGTCGCGTTGAATCGAATCAAACAGGCTCTTGTCATGGCACGTCTTTAGACAAAAACAAACCCTCGCACATCATCCCCAACTTCTGTACTGCAGATGCGGTACAGCATCCATTCTTGTACATATACACACACACACACACACAACTACAGTAACAACTTTTCTGCAGTTAACAGTTTTTTGACCGATTACCATCAACATGGCCACCCACACCCACACAACTACAGAAACAACTTTCTGCAGTTAACAGTTTTGACCTTTTACCAATCAACATGGCCTCTCCCTATCGCTCACAGTGGGGACAACCCCCCTCACAATTGCACTATCTACACGCCATCAGTTCAACACCTCTGTATTAAAGATCTCCATCGGAATCATCGTCATCCACCGTTAGCGCAAACCTCTTTTGCTCGCTCGGCTTCCGATCGCCCTCTCCCTCCGATTCATCTCCCCGTGACAATTCCACCCCGTTCTCGCCTTCCTTTCCACTGTCCGCAGCTGCATCAGAATATTCGCTCCCAGAGTCGTCGGCATCCTTTTTCTTTGCAATCGTCCCCTTTTTCTGTTTCTTGGCTTTCTTAGCCGGTTTTTCGTCCTCGATTAACAACTCCTCCTTCTTCTTTCGCTTGGATCGACCTTTTCGCGACGATCCTTGTTCCCCGCTATATTCCTCATCCTCATCCTCAAACCTTGCTTCCTCCGCCAGCGTTCGATCGTGCTCCTCCTTAAATCGTTGCTTTTTGGCTTCTGAATCTTGGAACGCTTTCCGCAATTCCTCCTCTTTCTGTCGCTGCTTGTCCATCTCCTTTCTCGCCTCCTCCTCATGCTTCTTCTGTCGCGCCTCAAGAAGAGCAAGACTATGCCGTCTTCGCTCTTCTCTATCTTCCGCTTCGTTTGTCGCGTTCCTCAGGTTCACCTCATGCGTCCTGTCTTGTTGGTGCACGTATTTGTCGAGTGCAGTTGCATGTTTCGTTTCAAATTGCGACCTTGTCAGGGCATCTGTATGATGTCTGTCTAACGCAATGCTTCTCCGCAACGCTTGTCTGCTTGCTGTAAATTCCACTTTAGCCATTTTCATTTCTTCCAGCATTGTTTTCCCTCGTAGAGCCCGAGTGCTCGCAGACTCAAGCAAAGCTTGACCGAGGTTGAACCACACCACCGCATTAGACGGCACTAAGTGCACTAGTTTTGTCAAAGTATCCGCAGACTTGCGGTACTGTGTCGCTTCAAACTGCGCCCACGCGGTGTATAACAACAGCTCGCAATGCGCATCAAAATCCGCCTTCGACTTTGACAGCCGACTGAGCTCAAAGGCGTCCTGATAAAGCTTTTCCGCTTGTTCAAATAGTGCCCGTGAGTTCGACACAACCTTGTGGCTTGGACGTCCTGTGACTCGCGCAGACTCGCTGATCGCGCGATGACCCAAGTGCACTTGCGTGTGAGCAAGATTTACCCGCGCAGTCTTTGCAGTGAAAACGCCGGTACCGGCTGCTGTGAACGCGTCTCTAGCCTCCGACATCATTTTTGACTCAGCAAAGTACACGCCCACGCCGTTTGCCGCAAACGAATTGTGTTTGCTCCTTTTCAGAATCGACACAAGGGGTGCCCCTATATGGTTTAACAAGAAGCGTGATTTTCGTTCTTGATCCAAACTATCCAAGAAGCGGTGCATAAAACTTGAGAACGCTAACGCCAGATAATCGCACTCATTACGATTAATCTCTAGAACCGTTTGCGCTTCCTTAAAATCCTTCTGCTTTGCATAAAGCTTGCTCAGAAACGCCGCAGCAACCGACTTGCTTGCGGGCGATCCCATGGCTTCTCTCAAAAGTTCTTCTGCTTCTTTCAACTTTGTTTCATCTTGCATGGTGATGACGGCTAGTCTTGTAATGGCCTCCAGATAATGAGGAGCATCCTTCTTAATCGCCCGAAAAGTCGATTCTGCCTCTTTCAGGGCCCCAGCCATTTCTGCAATTCTACCTCGATTGTATGAGATTGTGGAGCACTCTGCGCTATACTCCGCATCAATCTTCTCGTGCATCATTGTTTTCGCTGCGCTAACATCCCCGAGACGTGCGTTAAGGGATGCCACATTATTCCAAATCTCAGCATCGACAGGGGTCTTTTCCCCCTCAAGAGCCCTGATCGCGGACTGATACGCCTCTAATGCCAGCTTTGGTGAGTTTTCCTCAATTAGCCCCGCATAAGTAAGTTGAGCAGGCACATCTGCTTTCGCCCCTTCGTTCTCAGCGAGCCCTCGCTTTAGAAGAGAGACCGCTCTATGGAACACTTCACCTCCCCGCGGACGACCACGCTTAATCCCGATGAGGAGTCGTCTACCAATCAGCACACCCAGCGCTCTTCTCGCAACACCGCATCTATCATTCGAGTCTTTGATTACTTTTTCGAGGCATTCTTGCGCCAAATCCTCGTCTTCTTTTCGCTGTGTTGATAGCTTCAAAAGTCCTAGACGTAAGAACAGTCCCGGATTAAGCTTGACATAGGCATTGTCAGATCTTTCAGAAATCTTCTTGGCCTCCTCCAGTCGTTGAGATGCTTCTTCAAACTTCCCCAAATGGTGCTCAGCACGCCCCAGTTGAAATAAAGCCATGATCCGATTCCCATTCCCAATGCCCGAAAACATCGCGCCGATCGATGAACCCGGAAGGCTGTCGCAAGCATCCAACGCGCGACTCGCAAAATCCTCGGCTTTCTCAAAATCACCTCCACTAAAGTAGACCTCCGCAATTAGGGACAATACCCTGGGATCCGAGTCTCCATTGCATTGCTCATACGCCTCACCCAGCGCCGCCATCATATTGTCTAGAGAAGACGTACTCTTGTCGGTGGATTCGATCAAAGCGAGAAGGTACAGAGGTTCAAGCTTCTCTTCCTTGCATGAGTCAACCAATGCTACGACGGCGCGACGGGCAATATTCTTCGCCAACTTAAGGCGCCCTTCCCGAAACAACGCGTACGCGAGCCCCGTCCACACGCCTGGTGGACAGTGATTGCTCTGCAAAGCGGCAGTAAGGAGCGAAACAGTATCTTTCTTCGATGGATCTGTTGCGCGTTTGTTATTGAGCTGGATGGCGGCCAGCCCCATAGTTCCAAGAACGACTGTTTTGTCTCTTGCATTCTCAAACCAATTGATGGCAGTCGGCTTGTCGGCATGAAACTCAGCCCAGCCTCTTGCAGCCCAAATTGAGGGGTCATCGATATCGATTTTGTCCGCGCGTGAACAGACATCGCTAGCCCTCTGGAGAGACTCTCGCCTCGCGGCCGGATCCGTGGATGCGCTGTCGGCGGCCATGATGTGAGCACCGGCGAGGGCGGCAAGTAAGTCAAGGCGAGTGCATCGAGGCCCTTGACGCCTTCGGTGGTCGTCATTGATTCCCTCCAACACACTTTCGACATGGTCTGATATGGATTCCTCGAGAATTGTAATGCATGCCGACAGCTTGCCGTTTTGGTAGTAAGCGGCGGCGACGTCGCGCCAACTTGAACGCGGAGACGTTTCTGACTTGAGGAGGTAGACTACGTCATATGGATCTTTCGGGAGAGTGTCTGCATCGAGCCGAACAAACTCGTTATCGACACCCTGGCAGCGCAGAAAAACACTGGATGGCTTGTTGGAGACTGGTTTGACGTCAACGCCCGTCATGACAACTTGCAGGACGGAATGCGGAGGACGTCAAATGGGACCACGCGGTGCGTCCATACAATACACGACGAAGAATTTGACCGCAAGTGAATTCAGTGCAATGTCGTACTCGCAGTTCGGCAGACGCCTCTCTCCTGGTGACCGGCCGCCTCCGTTACTTCAGACAGCGGGGTAAAACGCAGCGGTGATCATTCTTTCCTGCATTGGGAAGAGCTCTGAAGGTGCCTGCCGGTATGACACGTGAAAATATGCTCTTCCCTCGCGTGTGGTGCCTGATTTAAATCAGGCGATTTCTTTTTTTAAAAATAAAGCGTTTTTTAAAAAAAGAAAATAGCAATTTGAGAGGTTACCCACTGCCCATTCGGGCCCATTACAGTACACTGTAGAGAGAAACTTGAAAACATACTGTAGGACAACGGCAGGTACTGTAATGTAGGCGCGCTGTACCACATATCATACTCTTAAAACGTGGCATCGTGTCAAACGTCATTTGCCTGCTTCATGCCCATACTCCCGAAAACCTTGATAAAAAAACAAGGACGTCACGCTACGAAAGGTTACGAGTAAGACTCTTCTTGTGTGTGTGTGAGTCTACCACACAGCAACCTTCTTCATAAACACGCCTCACGAACACGCTTCACAAACACGCTTCACAAACACGCTTCACAAACACGCTTCACAAACACGCTTCACAAACACGCTTCACAATCACGCTTCACCATCACTATCACCTGCAGAATATTCGAGCATACAATGCCCTCTGAACAAGGCGCCTGAAATCCAGATCCCGTGACGTACCTTGCGCAATCCAAGAACGATTTAATGGAGGATTGCCACCTACAGTGTAGTAGGGAACACCTACTCTCTTCTTGACTGCGTGCACCAATACTTTCCTTGCTTCGCATGAAACGAGCCGCTCCTTCTAATTTCGACACAAGCAATCAATCTTCACCGTCGGAAGACATAAATGACACTCTCGCCGCTGTCTTTCCGAAGAATCCAGACATAGTTGATCGGGTTTTATCACTGCTAGGGCCGCTGAAGGAAACATACCGACCTCTCAACTTAAACGGATGTGACCGCGCGAGAACAGAGTTTCTTGCATATGGGACGCTTTCACAGAGGAACCCTTCGTGCGATGACCGCTGGAGCTCTCAATATGGCGCATACACCTTTCAAATTCCTCCCGCTAATGAAGTCCCACATCTTCAAGTTACGTTTGTGCGAGGACTCCTAGTTGGTATCATCGACGCGGACTCACATGGCTCACTCAAGATTTCTGCAAACTGCTGGACGGCACCCGGTCATCTCGTAATAGCTCCTCCTCCTGATCCACGATTGAGAAACATCCCGGTCTGGATTCGAGATTGGCGATACATACCCTCAACAAATGGACGAGGCCTGTTTGAAATCTTGGAGAAAGATATTGTCTTGTTGACTCCCAAACCACCTCATACTACACCTTTTCGAACTCTTCGACCCGATTTAACAGCTTTGCAACTTCCTCAACACATTCGTGGATTTGTACGTGCGAAGAGCTGCATTATCGGATCCAAGTCTTCCCGACCGATATTTCTAACGGAAATCTCAGACGCCCTCGACAATACAGCTAGTAGCGCAGTCATTGTCATATTTCGAGGCTGCGATGCAATGAAATGGTGGCCGTTCTTGTCTTCGGGTCAGGAGGTTGGCATTTCGGCTTTGATTCCCTGCAAGTTGCCCAAGTATAATGAACGTCTTGTGCTGGCCGCCCGTGGACCAGAATCAACATGTTGTGACCTTTCGCAAACGCCTATTGTTGAGAGACCACAACCTAGTCACAGTCCAGAAAGCTTCAAAAGACATGATCCGAAAAAAAGAAAGTTAGAAACAGAGAATCGTAAGGATGCAATCACACTTGTGCAAGGGGGACATGCTATGTTAACATACGAGGGTGAAGTCACAGAAGTGCTCGGCGAAGGGAAGTTGCAATTAGACCACAAGGTAATATTGTATCTGGGGAGCTTTGCAAATTGGTGTGCCGGCCCTGCGGTTAGTAGAGTTTGTTTTCGGAAAGGGGCGAAAATTGTTGCGTCTTGGGTGATGAGCTTTATTCGTGAGGGATTAATTCGCTTGTTTCCGACGGGGAGAACCTCTGTCGACGTCCAATATTTCGGAGACATTGATCTCGAAATGCGGTTACCAAGAAGTCGTCAGAACGTTTGGCGTTGGATTTGGAAGAGGTGGGAATTCAGAGACATCATTTGGGCGGAGGACATATATTGTGCCTTGCGGAAAAACCTCGGGAGCTTATTTGAAAGTACTCTGATATCTAGCAGTGCCGATATTGCAACGGAAACGGAGTTAATCGAATATCTGCTAGGCACCGAAAAGTCAGTAGGCTTAGTTCAGCATGCGATGTTTCTGCTTAGCGGTCGAAAAGAATTGCTGGATCCCGACTTGACAGTGTCGCGAAATTTACACGCGGAATTTCTCTCTCCCAACCAAGTACCCGAAACGCCAAGTTCTCGCCCAGCCGTTCCATCGTTGGCGTCCATAAAAAAAGCCGTGCGCCTTCTCTGGAGGAAGCGTGAGAGTGAAAGTGCGAGTCCGAGACCCACAGATGAATTGTCCACGCAAGCACCTGTACACGTTAGTGCTATATTCACGATATCGGAGATTTTGGGAGCATTGTGTGAGAGAGATGATGTCGACCTGTCTTTTTCGACGGCAGGAGTACGAGGTCAGGGCATCTCCTTAATCTGTCTCTTGCAAGGGTCTGCTGATGGATATCCCCAGGCGACCCTGTCCGATGCAACTGCATCTATGAAGACACGAATTATCGGGGACGTGCCTCCCTGTGCAATCGGAAGTATTGTTGTTTTGCAACGCTTCTCAGTTGTTATTGAGTTTACGTCAATCAAGAGTCTGTGTGAAATCACATTAGTAATTGAAGGGCACTCAATTGAAGAATTGCTTGGGGGTGGTACCGACGATTATGACCGAACGGCTAGTTGCAATGGAACAAGGGGATCAGGTATGTGTATGGCAAGCTACCCAGGGGTTCGTGGTTCTGAGCGCACGCCGCGTCTCGTACAGAGGCCCTATATGTCTCCCACACAACACGAAAATATTCTGGACTCAATCATTGCGCGATGCCCCCTCATCTGCATATTCGTCAACAAGCTTACGCCTCGTCCTGCAGAATGTGTTGTCACTGGCGCACTTCTGGCGTTTTGCCGAAGTACTCAAGACGAAGAGTGGATCTCGTTTCCCAGCACCAAAGAGGGGTTCTACCCTTGCCGTTTATCACTGTCAGGACAATCCATGCTGAGCTTCTCCATCGCTCTTCGAATAGGCAATTTCTTCGCCGTGTCGTGTACTGATTTGCTGGCAACTCCTAGTCCAGAAGAACACTTACGGGAGCAATTAGCTCAAAGTCTAAAGCAACAGTCTCTGCTTAAGCTAAAAAGTCATGTTGAGTGTGAAGTGCCGTACGTTAGGAGTCTAGGTAAACAGAACAAGTTAAGTTGTTTTGGACCAAATCAAGAAGACCCTCGAAGACATCAAACCTCACCCTCGGGCTTTTTTGATAAAGGCATGATGACCATTCACGAGGGAAGTAAGCTGGGAGGATATTCCCCTCTACAGACAACACTTCGTTCCTTGCGGGACAAGACAGCGAATTCCATTTCATTTCCGCTTTGGGATGCGTTCGATCGGTGCCACGTTGGAAAGGAAAAGGTTTTGATACTTCGTGGAATAGTGCAGTACTGCGGACCGCCCATCGAGGGCAGTGTGCGGTCTGACATGCTTTGGCAGCTCCGTATCCTGGACGAAGATATTGAAGTGATCAGCATTACCATTGACTTTTATGACAGACAATCCATACCTTACGGCATAACGGGAGGTATGAGTGTCATCGTCCACAATGTATCTCGGGTGACGTTGCAGGGTGGATCCCGTTTTCGTTTTGTGGGGAATTCCACAACATTTGTTGACTTGATTGCTGTTCCATCCCTGGACCAGAATAGCAAGTGCCTTGATTGCGTCAGCCCGCCAACCATTCAGTCGCTATGTTCAGCCTTTAACTTCGCTACACTCTCGGAGTTTAGCACGGAAAATGAACGTCAAGGACAACAGTCCTGTGGAACTGGTATTATCCGCCTTCGGGTGTTAAAAGTTGACCAAATACAGGTTAAAACCATGACGCAAACCAATTGTGCAAAATGCGGCATAGAAACGGTACCCGATGGTAGCACAATGAGAACGACAATTTCGGTTACCGCTGCCGTAGAGGATGGTTCTGCAGTGGGAACTCTGATCTGCAAAGGTTGGGAACCTGTCACGCGACTTCTTGGAATGAAGCGGCATGAAGTTTTGGCATTGAAAACAAGGAGCCTTTGTAAAGGGGGCTTCACAATTTCTTGTGAAGAGGCTAAAGCATATCAAGTTTCTGCTTTTAAAAATCGCCAGCGTGACACTCTTACAGACGTTTGCGAAGTGATGTGCCGCGAGCGAAATGAGAGACTTTTTGCCCTTGTCTTGAACCAGTCTCAAATCTGCGAGCCACAGGCCTCGAGTAGCGACGACGATTCTGACATAGTAATGGAAAGTTTTCGATTGGGGTTTGGAAGCGTGTTGTGGACATCTTGCTCAAACTCAGGTTCTATTCTTGTAGAATGTTGCGCTGTTTATGATTGTTTGCCCAATGCTTCTGCCTGCAGCAGTCAAGGTATTGTGACGAAGACGGTTCTAGGAAAACTGTTAAGAAATGGTTCATGAGTCATTGTGCTAGCGCTGCGATAATTACATATGACAGAGCGCCATGTTCTCTCCGAGGTACTTGACACTGAGGTGCCGGATCATTTCAAATGCTTCTATTTTCAGGAGACAGGCATGTCGGTGAGCGCGCGGACCCGTGATAGACTCCTTATAACTGTGAAGTGACAACCATTTCTCCTGCAATATACCCGCATGACTGAAAGAGGGATCCCTCATCTCAAAATCGACGCCCTTTCTAGATCACCTCACACATTCTGACCGGTGTGGACAGCGAGGATCCCTGGTCTTAAAATTGATGCCCTTTCTAGATCGCCTCACATCTTCTGACCTATGTGGACACCCGTAAGCAATTAGGATAACTTTTTGTTCTAGTCTGCGGCCCGCCCGCTATCGACAGTACATGGAGTTTGCAAGGTTGTGCGGAGCATGCATGCCGATAGGACCTCAAGTCCAAAAGAAGTACACCGTGCATGCCGCGTATCCTGTCTCTGCGACTTCAATTCTGCACCCCAAACTATCGACGTAGTCAATCACCGTAAACCTTATGTATAAATGATGCTGTGGTGCCATCTCGTGAACCTCCTTGCTAACATCATAGTTAAGCATTAACCCCATGCAACGGATTAGTCGAGTGCACATATAATACAGTAATCATTCTCTTAATTCTGTCATGGCAGCGGTATGGCCTCCATTGTAGTTGTGCGGATCGCATCAACCCGACGTATCCTCCTTTTGTCTCACAGCGTAACGATGCAAATTGAAATTCCAGCAGAATTGCTTGCCACTGATCCAGGATATGAAGCAAGAACAAACGCCATGTGAACAATTATCAAATGAAGTCTCGGCACCAAAGTATAAATTCTGGTAAACAGACGAAGTCAAAATGCTTACTGACGGCAGGAACCCTTCTTTCCGCGGCTAGAAGTCTGCGGCAACCTTCGAAGCAAACGGAGTAAGCAGTAAACAAAAAACCGCGCCATAAAGATGCAATTTCTCGTACACATACTAGCAATTCTAGAGCCAACCCCGCTGACTCGTTTTCCGAAACTTTCAGTCATGCTTCTTCTTCACCCGGAGCAAAAGACCAAGGTGCTACTTCAAGGTTCGGGTGATCTTGTATGACGGCATTCAATGACCATTCGTTCTTGAACAAGCAAACTGGACGGCCCCATTGGTCCTTTGCATAAAAAACGTTAAACAACCTACCGCACCCCTCAAGAGCCTCCCATGGATCCCCAGGGCCAGTAACCCACCTGGCAACATTGTACCCCATAGGCTCAAGCTTACTGTCGACGTTGTATTCATCTTTGAGACGCCTTTGCACCACTTCAAACTGCAACTGTCCAACAGCAGCCATAATGGGGTCCTCATTTCCTTGATCTCCTTTCGCACGGAGCATCTGCACAGCTCCCTCATCCAACAGCTGGTTGAGCCCTTTGCGGAAGTTCTTGTACGCAGATGGATTTGGATTCTTTATGTATGCGAAAAGTTCTGGAGAGAAAGATGGTATCCCAGGATAACTTAGCTTCTTTGAAGAGTCGCCGCACAGAGTGTCTCCAATTGCAAAGACCCCAGGGTTGTTCAGCCCAATGACGTCCCCTGCAAACGCCGTTTCAACAGTGTAGCGATCAGCTGCAAAAAGAGACTGCGGCCTAGTCAACGCGATTGACTTGCCTGGAATGCGCGCATTGCTCACTTTCATACCCTTTTCAAAGACCCCACTAAACACCCTCACAAAGGCCAGTCTGTCACGGTGCTTTGGGTCCATGTTTGCTTGAAGCTTGAACACTTGGCCAGTAAAGAGCTTAGCGTCTGGATCAACCAAGCCAGTGTTACTTTTCTTCGCAGGCGGACAGCGGCCCATTTCAAGAAACATCTTCAGGAAGAGTTCCACACCGAAGTTGCTCATTGCTGATCCGAAGAACATTGGTGTCAACTCACCAGCCATGATGAGATCGTAGTCGTATTCATTGCCCATGGTATCCAGTATTTCGACATCCTCCAAGAGCTGTGCATGTAGCTCGTCACCCAGCAGCTCCGCAACAGAATCGTCATTGAAAGGTATGACGTGAACTTCTTCAGCTTTCTTGCCTCTTTCACCTCTCTCGAACAAATGCACAGACCTCGTCGCTCGCTCGTACACGCCTTTGAAACGATCACCGTCGCCAATCGGCCACACGACCGGATAGCATGGCAACTCGAACTGTGCCTCAATTTGGTCACAAATCTCAAATGGGTTCATAGCAGGTCGATCTAGTTTGTTGACGAAAGTGAATGTTGGTAGTTTCCGCATGCGACAGATTTCGAACAACTTTTTCGTTTGAGGTTCCAGGCCTTTTGCCGCGTCGATAAGCATAATGGCATTATCCACGGCGGCCAGGGTACGGTATGTGTCCTCACCAAAGTCGGCATGGCCTGGGCAGTCTGTGATATTGATGCGCTTTTCGTCATATTCAAATGTCATGACGGCAGACGTAATGGATATGCCACGTTCTTGTTCAATTTTCATTGAGTCGGAAACGACACCTCTCTGCGCTCGGCGGGCTCGCACTGACCCTGCTTGCTGTATAGCACCTCCGTATAACAACAGCTTCTCAGTCAGAGTTGACTTCCCCGCGTCAGGATGGCTGATTATAGCCATATTTCGCCGTCTAGCAACCTCATGGCGAATTTGTTCTGGAGAAATTTGCTCTTCAACAGTTTGCGAGGACATGTATGGAATCCTTGCAGCATGAGAGCACTGCGTTCGACGATATGTCGATTTGAGCAGGACAGGGTTCCCTAGTATCGCACTCGGTACGAAGGCAAATGGAACATCGCCTCGCGTGTGACTGCCGAACAAATACATCGCAATCTTTTCTTTCCACCAGAGGCAAGGCCCAAAGAGAGCCCGTCGCGAGATCGAGCTTAACTCGTCTATTCGGGCGAAGAGCAATTTGGACAAGACGGGGTTACCTCGCAGCCCGCAGAGACATTTGTTCTCAGCTCAAAATGAGGAGATTGGAGATTTAATCAAATATCATTACACGTATATACTTGTGGTGCACAGTGCCTGTAACACGTACCTGTACAGTAGTATGATCGTGCAATACGTGTACGCTACAATGCGTGATCAAACCTTCACATTTGACGCAGCAGTGTGATCGCGGAGACCATAAGTTGAAATGCAAATATCACAATCTGGTTCAGTACCATGGCAGCAAGCTCCAGGACCACAGCACTTGACGCTCTTGTGGCATCAGCTGAGTCATTACCGCAAGCAGACATAACCACCGACGCCGAACTATACTCAAGATTAAACGTCCTGAAAAAGGCTCTTACTCTCAATTCACAGCTTCGCCTTCGGCACGCAGGTGAACCAGCGCGTTTTCTCCAATCTGAACTGTCACTACACGAGGCTATTCGCGCTTTAGCCCCTGTTGCGGTCAACTCGCAATTGTACCCATCACTAGTCGCGCAAGGGGCATTGCCGATCCTCAAGTCCCTGCTTCAACATGTCAACGAAGACATCGTATATCGCGTTATCAGCTTTTTACATGATCTCGCCGCCGTCGATGATGGCAGCGACGTCGAACGCGACAGCACCCGTGCTTTCTACGATGCTTTGCTCAAGGCGGGAATACATGAGATGCTTAGCGATGTTTTGAACGATGTATTGTTCCCACACATAACCGGGACCACTTCTGACGACACAACGCCTGCGCAGGAAGCCACCGCCCAGGTGTTTGCAATATTTGAGAATTCCATCGATGTTCGCCCCGACCTGACCGAAGCTATTGCAGTAGGGTCGAAAATCGTCCAAACCTGCATTAAACATGTAAACATTCCGCAACCCAACGATGCTGCTGTGGAACTGCTCGCAGTTTTCTTGCAAAGCTCTACGAAATGCAAGGATCACTTCGTCCAAAATGACGGTCTAAACGTTGTTCTCGAAGCGCTTGTACCGTTTCGAACACATAAGAAACAGTCCTCGTCCTCAGGAGACAAAAGAAACACAAACTCAGGAGCGGATGAGGAGGAAATGGTTGAAAACATGTTTGGACTGCTATGTTCAGCGCTTTTCGACAACCCTCCAGCAAAAGTCGAGTTTGAACGGCTGGAAGGAGTGGAGCTGATGATCTCGTTTATGAAGACGTCAAGTGCGTACCGCGGATCCGCAGCAAAAGTGTGTGACTTTGCATGTACCGGTCATAGCACCGCAACGCAACGCCTTTTCATGTGTGGCGGGATTGGAGTGGTGTTCGCCATTCTGATGACCCTCGGCAAAGACCGTTTCATAGGTGGGACCAGGAAGCGCACACGAGCACTGGAGGATGATACGCGAAATGTGACTGAACATATCTTTAGCATACTATTTCACTTGTTCAAGTATGCTTCGACAACAGATAGAAGAAGATTGTTGGTGAAGCTTAGAGAAAACAGAGCGGAGAAGACTGTCAAAATCGTATCGCTATATCGACACTTTGCCCTAGCAGTTGAAAAAGTCAGCGGAGAGCAGGGAAGATACCTGGCGGTAGCCGATAAGGACGCAGCAGCGATATCGGAAAGGGAAAGCGGTGATGATGAGATGCTGGTCAAGAAACTGGATGCAGGACTGTTGATTGTGCAAATGGGTGCTGCTATTGTCGCGCATGTCGTTGCATATGGGGACGAGAGCTTGAGAAAGGCTACGGCTTTCATGTTGGAGCGGGTGGGACTCACGATTGCGGTGATGTGCGAGACATTGCAAGAATACGCAGAAACTATTGGTGACGCAGCAAGAGGTAAAGAAAGACCCGAAGCACTTAACGAACAGAAAAGAATATTGCACCTGGTTGAGAATATTCGCAATTCTGTATGAGTAGCTGCTGTCGGTATGCAACTCAATAAAACCAGCTTGCCGATATGCTTTGGAGACGATACAGGTAGAACAGAAGTTGTTTTTGCCATGAATAGCCGTTGGAGTACGGGTGAATATTTTGGAGCTATGCAGACGCTCCCCTGATCTCCCTTCCGTCATGGCACGAAGAGGGCAATGCTTGAAGAGGCAGGACATAAAAGGTGATGTACTGTACTGGATCTGTGCAGCCTGACGTGAGACTTTTTTTAGGGTTTTCTCTTTGAATTGGCAATTGTACACCAGATCAGATCTACATTAGCTCATGAGCGTTTCTCCTGGAAAGTAATGGCAGTTTCCCACACTTCTCAAGTTTCTGAGACCCATTCTATCAAGATGCGACAGCTGTCCGTATCATTTCTAACTTTTCGATTAAATTTCATAATTCCTTGATTTATTTATCGTCGTCGTCGACCCCATTTTTGATCGTGCAAAGAGGTTTATCGTAGCCTGCCCCAGCCTAGCCCTTCTCCAATCCACGTCGGCGATCCTCATAAGCTCCCTTCTCGTCATCCTCCTCTTTTTCCGACGGCTATCACTTCATCTTCACTGACAGCCTCATCAGCAGCATTTTGAACTTCCCATTGCTTCACGTTGCAGGATCCACACCGCGCCTCTTACCCGCGCACCGTTCGATCAAGTCGCCCTGCATTCGATTTTGTTTCGCAGACTATTACGAACCCAATTTGCTCGTGACGCCTATCCACCGCAAAATCTGCGATGAGTAAGTTACCTGCCGCTACCGTGCGCGACGCGGTTGAGGAAATTCTCGCTGAGGCGACCGAGAAAAAGCGTAATTTCCAGGAGACCATCGAGCTTCAGATCGGCCTCAAAAACTACGACACCAAGAAGGACAAGCGTTTTGCCGGGTCTATTAAGCTGCCCAACGTCCCTCGCCCTAACATGAAGGTCGCCATTCTGGGTAACGCCGTGCATGTTTCGGAAGCTGAGAAGATTGGCATCCCGGCGTATTCGACCGACGATCTCAAGAAGTTCAACAAGCAGAAGAAACCTATCAAGAAGTTCGCGAAGAAATACGATGCCTTCCTTGCTTCCGATTCTATTATCAAGACCATCCCAAGAATCTTGGGTCCCGGTCTGAACAAGGCCGGTAAGTTTCCTAGCTTGCTTACCCAGAGCGATTCGATGGAGGATAAGGTGTCGGAAATCCAATCCACCATTAAGTTTCAGCTCAAGAAGGTGCTGTGCATGGCGGCGGCAGTCGGTCACGTGAACATGCCCGAGGAGCAAGTAACGGCCAACATTATTCTCGCTGTCAACTTTCTTGTATCTTTGTTGAAGAAGAACTGGCAGAATGTCAAGAGCTTGCACGTGAAGAGCACCATGGGCAAGCCGAAGCGTATCTTCTAGATGAAATCCAACAGGCGGGGTAAAGACCTTGTCTGAGAGTTTCTGTACAGTTCGCCTCCGCGAAGTATTCATTACTTTTCGTGCGTTGCGATGTATCTGCAGGTCAACTGCGCCGTTAACCATCTCCAATCGTCGCTCAACTTCGTAAATTCCCTCTGCTGTTCACTGACTTCATTGAAGCATGGGAGGTGCCTTAAGGATATGCTTGTCGCAATGCTCATGGTACGAAGTGGCAGAGTTTTCAGACATGTGCAATTAGAATTTGCTGCGCAAATAACTATGACCGTCACGCAAGATATGCACGAAGGGCAGATATCCCGCGGTTCAGTGTAACAGTGGAGTAACTACGAGTGAACGAGGGAACCGAAACGATCACCGTTTACGTGTCTTGAACGCTTTTAAAGTTGTGACTGTATTGATACTCGCGTTATGTCCTACTTTGATGCTGACCTTGCAAACGCAGTGATAGTGCCCCCTTAAACACGTAGTCCTACTCTCAATGTTTACACTTGCACCCTATCTTGCCGACTAGGCGAGGAGTCATATCCCCAGAACTTAAAACAGCGAGCAGGGTGAATCATCAATCCTACAGGCCTTTCTTATAAGGAAGTGCATGACTCTCTTCTTAAACAGTGAACCTTGCGGTGTTCTGTTGACGTAGCGAAAAGTGAAGACATGAACTAGAACTGCGCCCCTTCACTAGGTTGCGGTAAACGACGGTTGTACGATGAGGCCATCTCCTTGCGCAGTTCCAACAACACAGTTTCGATGCCATAATCCCGAGACCAATTCCTCAACACGCTGCACCTTGCAATGTCCACTCCCCCTGAGTGTTTGGAAACGGAATGCATGTTCACTTTGGTGACAAAGCGAACTGTCGGTGGTTGGCTCGGATACTTCTCGCCGCACGTCAAAGACACAGTATATATTCGATTCTCGAAAACGGTCTACGCGTGAATTTCAGCAGCAATCGCACAGCCGCAACGCACATGCACGCGGTAGCGATCGCAAGGGACGTTAGTTCTCCGCACGTTCGGGCAACCAGAAGACGGTAGGATCTCAGCGCATGAAAAGAACGCCGCAGCTACCGCAGTGAGATGGGCGGTACTGCTTTTCTCTCAACTCGTTCGTGCAAGACCGCAATCGCACCCTAAAGACTGGAGTCGTTCACTCGACGGCAGGCAGTTGTACACTTTTCTCAACTTACGTTAATAGGGCCAAGGATAGTGCCGTTCCATCTTGACAGCGTGATGTCATCGGCATCTTCCAAACCGTAGCTCACAGAACCATCGCCGACACCATGCTCACCGCGCTCCAGCTCTTCCAGAAGACGAAAATTGCGTGGCACTAAATATAAGGTATGAATGCGTTGGGCGTAGCCTCGCGGTCAGATATTGCTAGATAACTGTTTCGCGGTTTCGGTGGATCTCAATGTCCGCATAGCTCTAGAAAAGAGCGCTGTGCAAATCGCACCGGTGGTCTCGCATGAGAGGCACGTTTTCCGCAAGTCATGTTAGCTTACCTTCTACCGACGAATCGCCGATGCCGCGAGATCTTGAGTTCATGGCTCAAAGGAGTCACGTGTACGAAGCGGCAATTCTCGGATAGAGCGAAAGACTTGCAACAGACGACAACTGCAAACACGTCTTTCCGTGATATTGCCGAGTTATAAGCGCGAGGCTTCCTGAAGTTAAGCGCAGAGCGTCGTTGTCTCTTGAATCCAAGCGTACGGGGGGGGGGGGGGGGGGGGGGGGGGGGGGAGGGGGGGCGACTAAGTTGTCGGCTGCTGCACGGAAGGCGTTGAATGATTGCAGTGGGGGGATTCAGATGCACCTAGCACGCGAAGAAGAGGCAGAGAGAAGCGTTTCGATTTATGAGATTATGGGTAAGTCCCACGGACGTGGAAGTACAGGCCGAATTGTCCATTACAGTGAGGCTGCCTTGCTGTGCAAGTATTACAGCGGGACGCACCGAATAGCAGTACTGTACGACGCTCTGCCATCGCCGTGCAAAGTGCCTCCGTCGTTTCTGTCTCCAGAAATAAATCTTCTCTTCCTTTTAGGTCTCTTACGTGGACACGTGGACACGCGTATCCCAATCATGACGCGTCAGGCTATCATAATAGAACGTCTTCAAGTCTTGAAGTTCAAGAGTGTGCACTTCTCTGCAATCCGAGTCCACTGCGAACGGTCCAACATACTTGTACCGTTCCACCGAAGCAAACGACGCCTCCACTTAGATTCGCGCTGTGTCGGAATGGTAGCCCTATTTTCCCCACTATGGCCTTCAGGAGAGCTTCTCTATCATGTGAGAACATCTGCCATTCTGCTCGCAGCCTTAGTGCTGCTGCTTCGGCTGCTCAAAGCCATCCGCTATCGTGTCTACTATGACCTTTTCAAGATTCCGTCCCCCCCGATACCGCTATGGCGCAAGTATACAGTCGGCCACAACTTGTTCGGCCTCATGCTATACAACGACTCCTTGCAATCCGCCGACCTCTTCAACGAATGGGCAGAACGACATGGTCCATTGTTTCGCATCTATTCGGCCTTCGGCAAACCAGCCCTCATACTCACCTCCGCCGAGTCCATTCGGCTCATCAACACCACGAATCACCGCAAGTACAGCAAAACACAGAAGATGCGCAACGCTCTCGGCACACTAGTAGGAGAAAACGGTATCATCTTAGCCGAGGGTGAAGCCCACGCCCGCCTCCGTAGAGCTATCGCCCCAGCGCTTCACCATGACGCTCTCATTGCCGCTGAGAAAGTCTTTCTACGCGAGGGTCAGTTGCTGGCAGACCGCCTTGCCAAGTCCCAATCCAGTGCACAGATGGATATACTGCGCGACGTCCGGACGGCTACGTTCCAGGTCATCATAGACACGGCTTTTGGTGAAAACGCCGTCCCACCCGATCAGCATACCCGCCTTCACGACGCCTTCCTCGAAGCCCTTGTGGAGCCGCCATCCCACATGTTCAGACGCGCCATATTGCAGGACATTTTGAGCTTTCTTCCTGCTCGATACTTCGGATGGCGCGAGGACCTGCGCACATACATTCGGAACTCGGTGTCTAAGATTTGCCGCGAGTTGAAAAAATCTGCGAAACAGCATGGCGCGACAACCCCACTGATCTCCTTGATGATTGATGAAAAGACGAATCGCGTTTTGCCGGAACGCGACCTTGTTGAGACTGTCCTTAGCTTTCTCGCCGCTGGCCAGGCCACGACGAGCATATCCGTGTGCTGGACACTGTACTTGCTTGCCAGACATGCCGACTGGCAGAATCGTGTTCTCGCTGAGTTACGTGATAATTGGAGTGTAACCGATGGACTCGACGTGCTGGACCAGTTGCCCTTGCTATCACGCGTCGTGAGAGAAAGTCTGCGACTCTATCCACCGATATTCTACATGGCCCGAGAGCTGAAGGAGGACGACGAGCTCGAAGGATACCGGCTACCAGCCGGGACAGTTATAAGAACACCTCTTGCTTCAATGCATCGCGCCAAGAATACTTGGGGAGAGGATGCAGCAGAGTTTAATCCGGACCGTTTTGCAGTGCCAGGCGAACTTTCGCGAACAAAACATCACTGGCTACCTTTCCTTTATGGCCCCAGAGGCTGTGTTGGGCAGCGATTTGCAATATTGGAGATTAAGGCTTTTGTTGCTCAAGTGCTGCTCAGGTATCGCCTCTACGTCAAACCTCTGCAGGATCCACCCGCCGCCTGTTTTGGGCCTTTCGCTAATCCGCGGGGCATGAAAATTTACTTCGAATTGAGGCCATCAACATGAGTGCATCTATTAAGCATGGGCTGGTTGGATGTTATGCGAGAACTCCTTTTAGTTGCATGAGTTTTCTTCTCATGGAATTAATCTCAATGGTGTCTGTGAAAAGCCCGCAGACAATCTTTCTCGATTGAACATTGTCGCCAAGGGCTGGCCCGATTGACTCAAAGGCGCGTTGCCCTACACCGCTTGAATACCAATCATGACAAGGTTACTATGTAAGCACATCTTGAGAATTCCTATTCGAAAGCTTACAATCCCGGAGATAGTCTAGTTGGATGCAGTAAGAGAATACCAAGTTAGTGCCAGGTTGAGGTCAAACCGGAACATCACGGCTCAGCCGAAGTGAAAGAATCAGTTGAGGTGCGATGCGCATGGACTTCCAGCTGATAACATCCAAGGAAGAAAGAAACGTTGGTATGCTAGGTTACGAAGACGTCTCACTGTCTGCACTGAAAGATGAGCACGATTTCGGTTGGTTGAGAAAGCCCGAAATGCAAGGCCAGCGGAAGCGATTGACATTCGGGAATGTGAGATGGTCATCTGTCCAAACAAGATGCCAGTCTATCGGTCTTAAAGGGGGCATTTTAGAATCTAGAATAGCACTGTGGTGAGAAATTGAGGCCTGTTGGACAGACCGCAGCGACATAGCTTCAACGACCGCTTTCAAGATACCCACTACAACCTTCCGCATCAATCAGCAAAGAACACTTCCTCCCGCAACATCTAAGGTTTGTCCTTCGGTAACGAGATCAAAGGTCCTGGATTCGAGACTCAGGGCCAGTCCTAAGGGTGACCCCACCGCGCCTTGCCCAAAATCGCAAAAAGCAGACAGTTGTCCTCCGGTAATTGGATCTACTATCTTTTAATCAAGCCGCGCTTTGGGGGAGGTGGTGATTCAGAGATGAACCCCACCGCGCCTGTAACACGACACATCTATTCATATTCAGGGTCACCCCAATTAGGCTACAAGTATGTCGTAGAAATACATTTGGCGCAAAGAAGCAAGCTACTGCACGCGTCTGTTCCACAATTGGCGGCAACTTTTGCTCGTCACTTGCCCGCTCTCCATAATATGTAGGCTCCTGTTTGGGAATTATCAACTCGGCAAGTACACCACGCTTTCAATTCGCGGCGTTCTCAGACACTGCGCTCTCAGCAACGCACAGGGCAAGATTCTCCTCGTCTGACCACCCCAGTCCCTTACCCTTTTTCCTCACTCTTACTGCCGAGTCATCAGTCCTAGTAACCACCTCAGCCATTGCCTGCACTTCTCAGAAGACGAGAAGGAGGGAGAAGATGGGAAATGTCCACGAGCGAAGGCTGCACAACACTCCTTTTTGCGTCCCACACTATTGATGGGACTTCAGTCAAAACAGCCCCAATGCCATTTGGAAGAGCTTTGGTAGAGCTGTAAGCACATGAAATTCAGATGTTTTCTGTACCGTTACTATAGAACGAAGCTCGCCCAAACGGCGCTTTGGACAAAAATCTCGACCAAATAATTTTGGTTTGGAAAAGAATCCTTCCCAAATTCTAAACTTTAGGACAAATGGTGGCGCGGTGGGGTTCAAAATTTCTTCCATCGGTCCGAACTTTAGTCCATCGGTCCAAACTTTAGTGGTTGGAACTTTAGGACAGAAATTTTGTTGGCGGTGGGGTCACCCTAACAAAGGACTTTCCTCTCGTTTTTCCTTTCCCTCGCCCCGTTTTTATTGAGTTCTTCACTAAAATCGGAAGCACATTGCTGTAGTTTTTACTGTAATGCCATCCCATAGTTCCACTCCTCGGAAATGGAACAGAGTCTGGACGGTCTGCAGATCCATGCAGCATGGAAGGTACAGCAACGCCTCCTCGCGCATGCACATGGCCCAGTCTGACTCCCTGTAGCTCGACAAAAGCAAAGCTGGACGACGTGTTGCTATAATGAGGTCCCTCGATGTGCATGACTAAAACTGGGCTGGATTGAGATATGAAACGAAAGATATGGAAGGGATGGAGGGTGCGGGGAGAGACTGTGTCGGTGTCGATGTTAGGAGGATGACGCGGTGGCGGGGACAATAGCATGTCGGAGGATGTGTGTTGGTCACGGTACTGAGGAGGTGAGGAAGATGGTGATGGGGCGTGGTGGTCGGGCGCGAGGTAGGGGTGGCGGGGAGGAGGGGACGTGGTCTTATTTGGGGGGGAAGGGGGGTTGGTGGCGGGGGGGAGGGAGCGAGGGCGGGGTGGTTCACAGGAAAGGGATTTCGGCGAAGCCACTTCATCATCGATCATGAACTAGAGAGCAGCCTCCCCGGCTTCTCTCCATTTCATGATCGATGCCAAGGAGGCATTTGATTTCAAAAAGCTGAACTCTGGGTGCTGAACTCTGGGTACCCTTCTGCCGTCTGGTAGTGCTCCGTTTCCTAAACAGAGTGTAAAATGCTAGCAAACGACTGTCGCAAATTTCACGTGGGCGTCGAGGCGGGGGAGGGCCGAGTTGTGCACATAAAATGGCGGGAGAAGGTACTGTGTCTGGTTTGTAATGTTGAGAGAACTAATGTTTTGATCTGCATGTGCTCGTATTTGGATTTAATTCCACCCTTTCATTGTACCTGTACTGCAAGTGCCACTGCACCGCATCGAGTCCATGGAATTTTAGTAGTGTGCATATGGACTGGGTGTGGATTGGTACTTCCTTTAGCCAATGGATTTCGACCAGTTCGCAGAATTACCAAGCATTACAGTGGTTCTGTGTAGCATTCGTTGTGGCGTGCGATTAATTTAATGAAATGATCCGGCCAATAGCGTGACCGCAACTGGTTGAAGGAAAACAAAAGAAAAGAAAAGCGCCTGTTAGGACTGGCCCTCATCTGAAGCACCTGCAGTTACAGTCATCACTCGATAGGCCCTTCTGTTTGCACCCTCCGTATGCAATGCGTTCACGTAATTTTTTGAATATATGCTTAAAGAATACTCAAGTACCTTATTCGAAGTTTTGTTGTAGAGTGAACAAGGCATTCGATTTACAGGAACAGCTGTGTTACTGATGTTCTTTTGAAACCCTAGCTGGAGGAAATATAAACCTACCGCTTTTCGAAAGTCTAGGTTGATGAAAACTGTAGGGCTGCCTGTGGTAGTGAGTCAATCGCACCATATTTTTGTATACGTTCTTCAGAAAGAAAAAAACTCCGATAGGAGAAGGACCACCATAAGCTCAAAACAAATGGCAAACCGTGTTAGTGTGCAGTTTGAAATGCGGTACGACAATTTTAAGCATGTGATTACACTTCCTCTGGTAAAGGATTGCGCGTCGTTGTTCACGAAGGAGCTCATACCCGATTTTGTTATTTCGTGTCGGTTGCAGGTACAAAAAATTCATTAATGTGGTGCTCACACAAGCTCTGCAGCATGAGGTGAACAAAGATTCTGCAGTGCTTGCCAATAGGCAGTCCAGACACTTTCACACATTTCATGTGGAAAAACTAGAGGAACAGAAACACTTCCGAATATAGCTTCGTTTCTTTTGCGATCTGCTCCAAAATCAACACGTTATGTTCTATGCAACGGATATTGGCCATTGCATTGTATCAACGAGTAACTCTTGACTTCACTAACAGAGTCCTTTTTAATGTCAACCTTAATCACTCTTTTAAATGCCTGGAAAGGGAAACATTGCTTGAGTTTTCAGTGAATGGGAAGCTTTTCAAGACGCCCCTAGGATCTTGGTTGAGTCCGAGACAGCTTTAACTCTTACTCGGCAGTATGCACCTGAAGAACATTAGCAGTACAAAAACTATGATAACCAAAGATGGCTGTTATAACATCACTTCGGGGTCCGCCCGATTTCGGAGCAGTCAGTGAGACCTGCTTCCGAAAAGAAAATCTGGGCTTTGCTCCTCGCCTTGCTATACTTTAACTCCATCTACAACAGGGAAAGTCTTCAAAGCTGCTGTGACAATCTTTCCAACACGCAGCAAGACAACCACTTCCTTGTTGGCTCAACCATCTTTCCAGGAGAATGGCCAGCACAGTTCCCGCCCTCATTCTATTGCAGATTTCGATTGCGACATTCATCTCCGGATCTTCTGCATCGGTGACATGTACTCCTGAACCTGCACTAGATCCGCTCTACCCGTCATCCCAACTTGTGGTCACATCCTCTGGTCGGCAGCGCATTCGGAACCGTATCGGAGAACGAATGCTGATGGATGGTTCTCACATCTGCCCTGATGACTATCCTCGTGGGTTCTCTATTCGATGCGACTCTGTTGAAAGTGTATGGAAGGCCAAATTTTACGTTAATAATATCTTAGTGCGCACGGAACGGAATCCCCCGTATTATATCGCCGGTAACTACAATTCCTACGTCAAGCCGTGGAACCAGAAGGAGGGAGATATAGACCTCAGGTGCAAATTAGGCAAGAAGGTGACCCTCAAGGCGAAGATAACCATTGGATGCTTCTAGCTGCCTCTGTTTGTCTAATTTATTCCCTTACCGACTTCTCATTGTCGTGTTGTGTACCTACATGGGCTGCACCACTACAATTAACGGCACTCATTGTGGTTCATGCTATTTACTTTCATCAATGGCGAGGTAATGCTTTCTATTCTGAGTTGGTGCACAGGGAGCGCGATTCTAAACTTGGGGAATAAGCTTTTTCGATACATCAGAATACAGTATTTTGAAGGCGAATCCTTTTCTAGATCGCGTGTTGAAAGTCTAAAGGATGCTCGCTAGCTTTCATAGTATTATTTTGCGGCAGAGATTTTGAGTAAACTTAGACCACCACGGGTATTCTCATTTGTAATATATGCTTTCAAAAAGGTGGTCCAGGCAGGCGGGACAATCAACACAGCGGACCATAAGCTATCAAATCGCATTACATCTTCAGACCCCATGTACGAGTGATGGATATACTCATAGTGGTACATAATACAACAGTGCGCGCGCATAACGCGGGAGCGAAGCTGGAGTTGCTTGAATTTTGAATGCTGTGTCTATGATGGCCTTCTATCGCTACAAAATGTATTTACAAAGATCGCACGACATATCGTACAATTAGCAGTCCAATACATGAAATTCTATCTACGCCTGAAGTATATCTTCATGTCCTTGGGGACGGCAAAGCAACCTCGACATGAGGGCTGGGGCACTTCTGGGTTCCGCTTGACAATAACATGTTGAAGCATAACTATCGAGATGAGAGCCTTGATCTCCAAGAGTGCAAACCGCTGGCCTATGCAACTTCTCCTTCCAAAAAGGAAAGCGGACCAAAACATCCTTGATTTCACTACCAAGTCTTCATCCAGAAAGCGATCAGGATTAAACTTATCGGCATCATTCCCCCAAATTTCCTCGTCCCTCTGCATAGAAGTGATGGGCATTCGAACGGCGATGCCTGCGGGGATCAGGTATCCATCGATATTTACCGGCTTCATAGATATTCGTGTAACGTTACTTAGAGGAGGATACAGTCGAATCGACTCTTTCACCACACGGTCGAGGATGGGCAAAGCGTCCAGCCGTTCTAAACCGTCTTCCTCGCGCCATGTTTGGAGCTCCTGAAACAAGCGCTCTTGCCATTGCGGTTCGCGCCCGAGTAAGGACAAAGTCCAGCAGATCGATGCACTCGTGGTTATTTGACCCGCGACTAGAAAGCTGAGAACTGTGTCTACCATCTCTCCAGAGGATATTTTCATATTTGTATCAGGATCAACCATAAATGATAAGAGTGGCTTCTCCTTCTGGGATGGCTTCTCATTCTGAGACTCTCTGTGAAAGTACTCTTCACAAAGTAGCTTTGACGTGTTTTTAATGTACCGATGCAAGTCTTCTCGCCAGTTGAAGACGCTTGGATCAACGAACCAAAATATGAGGCCCAAAAGACTTGAGAGAAATGTTCTCCAGAGCGGCTCTTTAAATACCTCGTGATACGCCTTCTGCAAGCTCGCAATCCTCTCTGGTTGAGCAATATCAGTGCCAAAACACGTCGTGTAGATGATCGAAAATGTGGCAAGCCGGGATTCGGCTAGAATATCAAGCTTTTCAGGGTCGCTTGCCCCCAACCGCTCGGCAAACAGTTTGGCTTGTTGAAGGAATACGGTGCTCAGACTGACCAAGGCGTCGTGGTGCATAGCGGGGGCGACCATCTTCCGAATTCTGGCGTGAGTCTTGCCCTCTGCGAGTATAATACCCTCATCCCCGACAAGCGGGCCGATGAATTTCCTTGCCATAGCCATCTTTTCAAAGCAGCCGCTCTTGGAAATATTCACGGTTCGGATTGCCGACACTGAAGTGGCCATGATCACGACCTCACCCAACATGGAACGAATCTTGTACACTGGGCCGTACTGCTTGCGCCAGCGAGTGAAAAGGCGTACCGTTTCGAACGGATCCATGCAGATGATGTGGTAGGCCTGGGACCATCCAATTCTCGCGCGGCGCCACTCAGAAACTGTAGGTCCGGGGATAGAGTGGAGGTCAGAGTAGAGTTTGTTGTTCAGCCACACGAGAAGCTGGCGGATGAGGATGTAAGCTGGCAAAGCGAGAAAGCAAGCCTTCACAACCAACCCTAAGTTGTCAAGGGGCAAAGAAAAGTTGACCGCAACCATGATTCTTCAGGTTGAGGCGGTCTGTGAGTGTGGTTGGAGCTACCAAGGGTAGTCACACGCAACAGAGGGACTATGTAATGCTTAAAAGAGTGCTGGAGGAGAGGAGCTGTGAAGAAGCGACGGTGGCGGCAAATGTGCGGCAAATGTATTTATTACAAAGATAGAACTAGACGGGCGCTATCGCCGTCCGTCTGTACGTCAAAGAATCACCAGCCCGCACAATGCCCTAGACTCAAGGCCTGCCCCTGTTGTTTCCTATTCATAAATTGTGCTGCGGTGTTCGAAAAGCGTGTAGTTACGTGAGGCGTAACCACGGCACTGTTGATTACGTACGCGAGAGACATGCCTTGCGAAGAGAGAGATATCCTCTCAAGGCAAAGTCGCCGAGTCTATACAATGCCATTGGAAGATCGGGGTTAGAGGCAATCAAAACGGACACTCACTTGAAGGTAGGTGTGTGCAGCACGGTCTGGGATCGCTGAGATGGCATGGTGTGTGTCAGGCACAAGCTGGACGCGGGTGCTGTTGAAGTCTGTTGAATGAAGGGGGCTCAGGGCCTCCTTTAAGACAGCATGGACGGGCATGTATAGACATGTATGGACGTCAGCGTGCACCTGATTGGTCTATATAATACTTTTCTTAACAGTATGATGGCGCACACAAAGTTAAAATAATGGCCTCTGTCACTACCAACGTGCCATACGAGAGCACACCATTGGCTGTCGCCTACCGCATAAGTGCGATTGAATTCAATCTAGATCCAATTTAGCATATATTAAAATTCAATTTAATCATTTTATTGATGTCCCCGAATATCAGTACACGGGGGTCGCGATATAGTGCCTCCCTGTGTCAGTGGGCCGAAAACGGCACTATATCGAACCAGGCACTGTAAGATAATGAGACTTGCGGCTTTTTTGCAGCCACTTCCTTGCATCACTGCTCAGAAAGACCGTTCGCAAGACGCCATCACTCATACTTTGCATCTTCACTACAGACTCTAAGTCTAATCAAGCATTTATGTCATTAGTAGCTTCCGAGACGTCGCATTGACTTGCTCCATTTTCGCAGCAATAGATGCCAGCCTACACTTTTGCAGATGTCCAATTGCATCATCGACCCTGCCTTTTTCCGCCATAGTCTCTATTCTAGTAAGCAACTGCATAATATCTTTCCGCCGCCCGGCGGCAGCGGCTCTCGGGCAAAACGTTCAACTGCTTCTCTGGAGATCCTTAGTTTTTGGCTCAAAATTCTTGCCACCCGCAAAAGGGTATCACTATATCGGAGCTGGCACTAACAAAGATAGCACTCTATCGCGACTCCCCTGTACACTTGAAAAAAGGCGGGAGGCTGGCAATCGAAGGAGATGCAATTCGTCTCCCAACAACCAAACCAAGACCCAAAAACACATCCTTTCTACCCTCTTCCCTATCGATAGCTCGGTATGATGCACCCCTTGAGCCAATTTACGGATCACGGCGCGCTGACACCATACATTAAATTATTGGACTTGTAATATTTTGAAAATCGCGAACATATACATCCAAACATGGCTGTATATGTTCGCGATTTGCGGCAAGTTGTTTGTTGCCACGTTCCGAACATGACGACACCAGAATCTCACCATTGACATGTCCTTTTTTTCTTATAAATTTTAGCACGTTTTTTCTGAGTTTTGGTCAGACGTGTGAAATCAACTCATTCCTCATTTCTTGTGTGCGGCATGCATCACTTGCCGCCCTTGCAAAGCAAATACTCTGTACCCTTCAACTAACAACAATGCCACTACGTGTACCCTGAAGGGTACACGTAATGGCATTGTTGTTAGAGGCTACAGTAGAGGCATAGATCTCATTTTGCTCGGACAAGTGATTCTGGCGCAAGGCAAAATTATGGGCTTTTTCATACTCTGGTTGATCATGAGCCCACGTTAACCAGAGCCTGCTCATCTCTCTCCAAATCTCTTCATCTTCGGGCGGGGTGTGTGTACTGCTACATGTACTTGGTACATCCATAATACTAGGACAGTACAGTATCTTGTAGTGTACGCGCACCTGCGAAGACAAAAAGTCAACTTCTCACCAGAATAAATATCTGTGCAACGAAGAAAGAGCAGCCAAAGAATTACTTCACGAGGGGCACGCTCAGCACCCTCATGGCAGCGGGGTTACATGGTGAAATACACAAGTTTCTATATTCTTTACTTCCGTGCAGAAATCGATCATGGTTGACTTTAACATGGAGTCTTGTCGCGAGACTCTACACGTCAACGGGTCTCCGATCAGCATCGCGATTGCTCTTGAAGTTAGTTAGTTCACTCATCTACAGCAATTCTAAATCAGAAATAGATTGAGTCGACTCTCTCCAATTGCAATTGTCAATTGCAACACGTCGAGAGCAGGGTGTACCCTGTACTGTAGATATGAGAAGGGTATTTATGACAACATCGGACTGCGAGGTTGGTGCTCATGGACATGATGGACATGATGTTGTGAATTCCCTTTACCCCCCATTGCCTACATTCTCGCGCCCTTATCTATTGCTACCGAGGGCCGCTGCTGGCATGCAGGCGGTGGTAGGGACGGGTGTATACTTGTCTGGCCGCATGGCGTGGCATGCGTGTTGACATTAACAACTTCATTCCTTTGAAATACAGTCTGTACGGAATTTGTCAATGCTCATTTGCACCTTAAACAGCATCAAAGCACATAGCTCGATATGTCCGCGTTTGCTTTCGGTTTCTGCTTTCGTGCTCTTCATGCCGCCATTGATCAATGAGTTTTGATGTTGCGTAAAACAACGGCAACTTGCGCCAGAAATTATGTCAGTGCGAGTAGCACTCGCCGAGCCGAGCACTGTACAGCAGGAGATAGAAAATACATACTTTCTATGTCTGTCGCCAGCGCATCCTCCTTAAACGTTTAGTTTCTTGTCCGTTGTGGTAAGCTGCACATCCGATTGTCTATGATCAAAGAACCTCTACTCCAGGTAATACTCTGAACAAATGACATTGCCAGATCTTGCACGTGTAGTGACCGCAGGAATTACAACGCACGGCAGCGGAGAAGGAACAGGCACCGATCTGGAAATGACAACCTCTTCAAAGATGGCGACTGGGAATGTGCGCAACTACCGGAACGTCTTTTTCAAGGTGTACGAACACGACAACTATTAGAACGGTGGCAGTCAAGTCGCATCGATCACTGTACGCATGCTCTGGTATGTATGAAGGCGTGTGACGAGGGTGGCAATACTCAGTTCTCGAGAAACTGCCGCAGCAGTGTTATTAGAGCGAGTCGCATTCAATCTGGCAACTGCCTTTTAGTAGCGTCTAAAATGGAGTTTTAGTTCTCTTCAAGCAATTCACATATTCGGTAACCACCACATCTTGTTATCAGGATTTCTGAAGCTACGAGAATGGTCAAAGGACTTAATGGATCGTTTGATTTAGGTACAAACGCACTCAAAGAGACAATTTTGCATCGGCCTTTATAACTGACTTGTACTATTTTTAAATTAACACGAAAAATACCTCAGGCAAAGACTTGTGGAGACTCCAGTATCAAGGGATTATTGTGCTAACAGCGATGACTCGTTTATTGTTGAGGCTGCGGGTCACAGGCCATCTAAAGAACGGCGGCAGTGAAAGGCTACCAAGGCTGTTGGGATAGCTGCTACCTTTAGAACGTGTGTATGCATGCTACGTGTATGTGTCCCACTGTAGACACATTCCTCTCTCGCATGCCAGTTTCCGTGACTTGCTGCATCTCACCGCACTGCCATACGTGCCGTGTTTGCGACGTTTCACGTTGCGGGAGCTGTTCCTTTACTCATGGGGTGCTGAGAGTAAATGAGGCCCTTAAGTGAAAGGTAGTCTGGTAATATACGGTATAGCGTAGTTGGACCTTTGGTAACTTCATTAGAGTACAAGACTTCATGTGGAAGGTCTTCTCGTAATGAGTTAATACATTCGACGTTAGCAGGCTGAGGGTCCTCGTTAATGTATAGCTCCATTGTAGACTTAATGTCACACTGGGCATTACTCCTAGGATTGTAACGAGAAAGTTCATCACGAACCGTAGCTAGTGAAGACATGGTGCGCCAATTTGAGTAACCTGGATTTAGTTACGGAATTTAGTTGTGGACAGTTTTTTTGATTCTATATAAACCTTCTGTGTTGGTCGGGGGTTTGCCTTTTTTGATTAATCCTTATTTGTTGGTTAGATTACACCTTTTATGTTCGATCCTTATACATTGGTTGGATGATTACCTTTTTAAAGAACTTCTTTGTAATTAGCTAATGGGAGATGCTTTATTCAGTAACTCAGCTAATTATGCTTCCTAATTTCCCTTAATAGGCGTAGTTTAGCATGATGGTGCGTACTACGGCAGTGGACAGTGTAGTTATGTACAGTAGTGAAAGTCTTATTGCATTGTACACAGGTCCGGTTTACACGTCCTTCGTGTAGTACACGTTGAACAGCGCGTGTGCAGTGCCCCTGTAATGTGGAACCGGTACTGTTGGTGGCCCGAAAGGGTCCTCTTACAGTACTGACAGTAGCGGGTCTGGGGCCTTCGGGGCGGCGGATTAGTTCGGCGAGCTTCTCGTTCCGTTGCTACTCTGAGGATATAGCGTACCCGGCGCTCAGAAAGCTCTTAGTCTTCCTGAATTAACGATACGCTAGTAGCCGGGTGAGAATTAGAGGACGGGGTCGCGGTAGGTGAGGTAGATTCAGAGGAAGAAGGCTGTTCTGTTTCAATTTCTACCAGCGATGGAGCGTCAAATTCTGTACCAGAGGTACTGTAGTTCGTCGGGGAGGACGGTTGCGGCGATGGGGAGAGGGGCGGCGGAGTAGTGACAGGCGGAGCGCAGCGAATCGGCGAGCGGCGGCGGTGCGAAAGCGGCGGTGCAGTATCGGCAGCGAGCTCTGCGGCTTCTCTGAACACGTCGGGGTGGTTTGACGGTCGCTTCAGGGCCGCCATCCACTGCGTTATATAAG